CACAAGGGTTACCTTGGCTGCATCGAATACATCATGGATAGCAGTGGTAGTCACCTATTGACCTACCACTGTCAAGTACATCATGAAAGGTGTAACATACTCAAAGGCACTGAGAGCACACTTCTTGACAGATGCCGTGCTGGTCAAACACATGATTGGTGGAAGTGACAAAGAAGGTTTTGATGAGACACTCTAAGACTTGCAGAAAACATCAAGAACCGCAAAACTATGGGTTTTGTACCACAAACTTGTAAGAACAGAAGAAAGACTCCACGACTGGCACGGACATCTGAATGCTGTTTCTAAGATGGTTGGTACCTTCGCAATCTGGACGCATGTACCTACAAGAGATGCACAGACTTCCAGAAGATTATCCTGAGGTGAGTATAAACGAACTTCAATCAATCTTTTTGCAAGTAAAATCATTATCCGTCTTTTTCATTAATTGTTGCTTGTTATCATACTAAAGATCTGACTATTTGTGTTATTGGCAGGTGTATGATGCATTCATGGAAGGAAATCATACAACACGTTACAGCAATAAACAATTTTCAGGACAATTTTCTGACCAGACAATTGAAGAGACACTTATGATGAAAGCAAAGTCAAATGGAGGTTTGACACGCGGAAGAATGCGCAACGAAAACTCTGTGAAAATATGGGCTGGAAAATGTTCACATCTGAAGCTTATAAGCAACCTGATGGAAGATCTGATCGGTGGTAAACGGAGTAAGAGGACTTGAAAAGACACTGGAGCAAAGCATCTAAAAAAGAAAGCCAGTGTGTCAGGATGATATCTGCGTGGTTTTCAGCTCACAACCCATTCATAGAGGTTAGTATAGACCTGTATCATTTACTTATAGTGTCTGATAAATCATTCCACAGTCCACATTTGAGCAAAATTTTTTGAAATAGTTTGCTTATCATCTAAAATGATTTTTCATTTTTCATTTCAGGTAAACGATGTCAACACCATTGCATCACTGTCTAGTGGATTAATAACCATCGACAAGGCAGTTGTCAATTGTGATGATGCAGTGAGAATAGGACATGAAATGCAGAAGGATCTTGATGATGAGTCACCTGTTACAATCATAGAGACATCAAAGAAATGCAAAAATCTAGCTGACCTCCAGACGAAAGTAAAGGTAGGGGACAGAACATCTACATCGAGAAGACACTACTCTTCAATAGATTGATCATCATGGCAGAGAGCAATTAAGGTATGGAAGACATATTCAAATTTGAGTTGACCCCTATCCCAACATCTGTCTTCACAATGGACCGCATGATGAGAAAACCAAAAAAAACATAAATTTTGCAAGATGCTAAAGGAGAAAGCTACAAAACTCGACGTAGACATGAACAGCAGGGTGCATGTGGATGATGGAGGATGGCTTCTTCATCAGGTAAAACGGGCCAGCGGAGCAACTATCAAGGCTATAGTTCATTCTTATGTCATGTATGTTGACAACAAATTCAAGAATGCTACTGTCGTGTTTGTTGGCTACGGGGAGGAATCATCAATGAAAGATCATGAGCATATACGCCGGATGGCTGGAAAGAAGGTTTATCCGGACCTGAATGTGTCATGAGATAGAGAGGTATTCCTGGCAAATGACAAGAACAAAGGAACCTTAATGACGATGATATCTACAGAGATGGCAAGACAGCATATCACTGTACGCCAAGCAAAGGATGATGGTGATAGTTAGATCTGCAATGGATTTGGTCGTAGGTGTTAATTCCCCAGTTGTTGTTGTCGCCCAGGACACTGATATTTAGATTTTGCTCTGTTACCATAGACCTATCGACTGTACTAACTTGTATCTTCAAGCATACTTTGTGGTCTTTACGACATCTGTACCATAGACATTGGTGTCCGACCGTGAGGAGTTCCTCTTCAAGTATGTCTGGTCTAAAAACGACACTGTCATGCATTCATGGACATACCAAATTTGCTCTCTACAAATGCAAATTTCCTGCCAGTGTCATCATAACATTCACAAGTAACACTTCACCTGTCTCCGAAATTCGAACAGCCGGAGTATAAGCAATGCAGATCACATATGGTTATGGGGATACTCCTCTCGAAAAGTCTCGCTATCTTAAGTTCAAGAAGCAAGCAGCTAAGGGAAAGATCGCCTACCACCAAAGGAAAATGCAACCGCTCAACATTCCCTTTGTGTTCATCTTCAAGTTGTGATATGGAAGCATCTGAACACCTCCATTCTTGAATGTACTCTAAAAATGAAATATATTTTGTATTTTTGAAACCTGTTTTGGCTACTCCCACTTGTCGGCGGCCTGGTAGAATGATGGGCTGTTTGTGAACGATTATTCCAGGTGATACTGCTCGATACTAAACGATGAGTTGGTAGAGCAGATTTACATACGTGGACAGAGAAATTAAGACACGACTACATGAGTAAAGTTGACTCTACAGTACTGTTTCGTAAGGTACAAGGGGTACCTCACTCATCAGGAGTTAAGACTTTATTAAATAAACCACCATTGCATAACAATGGAGCGGGTTTGCGATATTAAAGCTTATTTCTTTTATTTAAACTACAGTAATGTGGTTGGAAAATTATAATATATTTCTCTCTAATGCATAAGTTGCAACGTTTGCTTGAAGTATTATATGGTGCAACACGCAATAGCACTCTCCATTTAATGTAAGTCATAATCGATGTTATTGTCTTTTAATGACAAGCGTATTTACTGAGCTCCACATGCCGATATAAACACACTTTGAATGTTATAATTTTATTATATTGTGGTAAATATTCGATCGATTTTCGTTTTGTTCAAAAACTCTTTTTATCACAGCTCTGACTGTGAAACTAGCGTAATAAATATTTTTTTATTTTCTTAAAATTGTCATTTTTATTGTAAGCTATGGATAATATTCGTTTATATTTTATTTGTTATGATTAAAATATCCCAATTTTTCACAATTTGTTCATTAATATAAACAACTACTTATTATTCACCTTTGGAAATATTTACAAATGTGCTATTTGATCATGGTTTGAACTTCATGAGGGTGAAATCAAATCAACATTACTCTACAATTTTTGTCAGAAACATTTTAATGACAGTATAAGGATGTGTTTTTTTGGAACATGTTAATCAAAATTAATTGTTATACTTTATGAAATTCAAAGATATCTTATTTTCAATGAAAATGTCAGTGCTCTATCAAAAATAGAACAGAACTGTGGTTAAAATTAACAACTTCCATTGTTGTGATGACTGAAAAAAATTGTGCAAAATTACTTTGACTGTTATGTTTCCCATGTTTTCAAGAAAAAAATGTTGATATCCCTTTTAATTTTTTAACTCTTCGTCTTCAATGAAAGTTCTATGCGATTGAGTCGAACGTGTCATGTCATATATCAGTTAACGCAGAGATCGCTTGAAAAGTTTCGAATGCGTAAACAGCACGCACAACATGATTTTACATGTTTCAAAATCGTACTGAGAAATTAATCGCATATTATATCACTTGCATAGCCTGGTCATATATATGTTTCATTATACATTGTCACATTTTTCCTTTTCAATATTTTAATTTGTTTTACCTAATTAGTAATTTCCTTTTTCAATATTTTATTTTATTTTTACATAAATAGTATTTTGTATTTATTTCTGGTAATCAAACTGGTAATCAAATTTCATATATCTTAAACTGTTATCGCAGTTGAAATTGACTAAACTCCAGGGGTTACATTATAGAAGAATCTAATATATCAACCACGCATGATTTCCACAAATGTGGACCAGAAGAAATGTTGGGGCTACGTAAGTATCGCCATGCGATATACAATCGTATACAGATTAAGGTCAGGTTAACCTTCTCATAATTTTAATATAACCTTGTCTGCACAGCTGTAAAACATTGAGCATATTGGTGCCGTCGGGGGCATTGTCCTGTAATGCATTGCTCTGTAATAACAACAACGTTTACTACTCATACTTTTTTCACCACCAGCTCCCTGTTTTCATCACAAATTCATAAAATATTCCCGTTCATAATCTGCACTTCCCTTCAGAAAATTGGGACAAAAATAGCCAAATGGGCGAGCAAGTCTTGTGGTTATACAAAGGTTAAACGTATACGTGATTAACTGTTTGAACACCAAAATCATTTTTTGTCACGAAACACAAATTAAAACACACATAGATTTTTGAAGGTGGTCCACAAATGAATGCAATGCAATGAACTTATTAGTATTAAAATGAACATAAAGAAGTACATAATATTATATATTTTACCAACAGAGAAAGAGAAACTTCGATTAAATAGGGTGTGATGCGTATTTTTTATTGAAATATAGGGCCACAATTCCCACAGTATAGTCCGACGAGCTTTATTATTAAATGTATACATTCAAATAATTGCTAACCCATCTGAAAAGCAATAAACTCACATTAAATGCCACATATGTTAATTTTCATTTATGTGAAGTAAAATTAATATTAATTCTGTTAAAATCCGAATGAACGAGTAAAAATAGCAAAGTAAATATCCAAGTGAAATAAAATAAAATATATGAAATTCAATTATTATTACAAATTCAAATCTACAATATAATATGATGTAAGAGAAATCCACATTCTAATTAACATACGGTTGAAATGTTGTACGTTCTCAAACTTACAATAAATAACGCCCTTTGCGACGAAACGATTATGTGACGTCAAACGGTTTTTAATAAACGGTTTTAGTTGTTCTGTTGTGCAGGCCTTTTAGAATATAGTAAATCTTTAACGAGAAACGGTAGTTTTATCTAAAAACGACCACCTATCAAAACAACACTGTGAACGCTGCCCTACGTCATAGCTATGTCATACAAGCGCTTCGTCGTAAGAGGGCACTATTTATTTACTGAGAGATGTATTTGGGTGTTAAACGTCACACGTGTTGTTATGAGCGATTATAAGTATACAACTTCCGCTTTGCCAGAGTTCAAGTTCAGACTCACATCCCTAATTTAATGGAGTGTCCCTTTCTCTTTCTTTCGTTTTAGCGACTGCCAACATATGGTGTACATAAGAAGAGCTAATATCTTGAGAACTATTTGAAAGGTGAAAAGCTTATAACGATAATCAAAGAGATCGTATTGCCAACAAGTGCTGAATTCGCTGCACTGATTTTGGCTCCATAATAGGCAGGTCGAGTCGATGATAATGCCCATATAAATAGGCGTTGGTACCCATCCTGTAGGAAAAGTAAAAAATAAACTGATCACTAAAACTGACCGTGAAACTGGCAGCACTATATGAATAAATATCTTTCTAACAACGTTTCATGGTCTGTATATCACTGCATCTAACCGCAGGATGTTGAAAATGGGTTGTGACATCTCATTATCACAAAGATGAAGAAAAAATAAAAATATGTGGTTGTCTACCAGTTTACCGATGTTTTCTATGACAAGGATATACCTCAATATCCCAAAAATTCCCTTCGTGACATGAGGTAAAGAAATGATATACCGTGTCTAAAAAATGTACTTGTTCATGGTAGATTAAAACATTAAATTATTTTTAATTTTGTTTTCTTTGTGGTCTATGAGAACTTCATGTATATATATATATATTGTTTGACAATTTTTATCAAAAACAGATTGACAGCGAATTTTAAAAGAAACACATATTGTTGACTAATACTAAAACGATTAATTATAGTTTTCGCTACGACATATTATCAATGTTATTTACGCTAAAACATGCGCGCATGTCGAAAACGTACGAGTAGCATTCTGTCTTAAGTAGAAGCTTGAGAACTATATAACTGCGTATCGACTTACCGAGTACTTGAGCAAACAGTTGACGAATCCCAAGGGCAAACGGTTTATCAGCGGGAGCAACACAACTGAAACATACATTATACATAATTATCGTGACACAATGTCATGTGATATGTATCACATATAACACATATAAAGACTATTTCTAGATATGTTTGCAGTCATGCATTTTTGCTTCTTTCTGTATTCCGCTTTACATTTTAAAACAAAACCAACAAAGAACTATGCAATACAAATTGTGTGGTCATCAAACAAACAAGTAAGATACAGTAATCTGCGCTGGGTTTTGAACGCACGATATTAAAAATGGAAATACCTAAACACAGTTTGCTTAAAATAAATTTAACAAGCTATATTTTTAAGATTATTGATACCGATATGAAGATATGATACTAGTATGAACTGGACGAACTTACCGAAATGTTATAATCACAAAAGCAGTTAGTGGTAGTGAAGCGACGAGACTCTCGACAAAGATGACGACTATGAAAAGGATCAACATAGATGTACACTGCCCGCCACATATGCCAATCTGGGCTGTCTGTTCAGATAATACTGACGTTCCAGGGTTTATACATGAACACGAACTAAAGTTCTATAAAAAAAAGTTAATAAAAAATAAACGTTTTGCTTATGCATCTCATCACGTTCAAACCCCCTCCCAAAACGACACTCTAAATATGGATATTTTACCTATATAGAGACATTATACCCCCCCCCCCCCGGAGAAGTCCCCTTTAATAAAATGACACTTGCAAATATACGGCTTGGTTATTCTTGCATCATATTCAATACAAACCGTTTGAAACTACAATCATGCCGCCTCTTCATGCAAAATGTTTTGTTGTTTAATTAAAAATACGCCTTTACACATAAAGTAATTGTAGTGTGAAACCATAATAAAAACCGCTTATGAATTCCTATACAATGCGTTAACTCAATGTGGAAGACTTCCTATTTGATAATGTCAATAACACAAGATAATGTGCAGGAACTTGTATTGTGAAATAAAAACTTGTTTCACAGTTGGGATGCTAAACTAAAGTCTACGATTAACTTTTCTAATAATGGTACTTGACACCTCGAGGGCAATGGTACTCTAACTACCGACCTAGATTTGCAAGGTTGCCCAATTACTTTGCTTCATTTTTTTTTCGAGATCTCGATCTTAAATCTTGTCACGTTAGAGCCCTGAAGTTCTTGATCACAAATTGGTGTCAGTTGTAAGTTAATAGTGGAGTGTTGGACAATGGTTTCTTTACATGTGGGCTTAAACAAAGTTGAGGTAGTAGTGTACACTTCAATAGATTCGTTTGTTTAGTATTGTTTGTCTGTGCCTTTGGAATCATTTTTTTACTTTGGTGGTTTCAGGCGAGGTACTGTTTTCTCGGATTCTCTGGTATATGACCAGTGTCATTTGCTGCTGAGTCACGCCCCGATTTATAAAAAACAAGTTTAGATGTGATATAAATGCATGGACAGGCTGGCTAGAGTGCATGTTGCTCTTTTATATTCACACAAATAGTCGGAGCTCTGCCGTATTTTGGATGTGTATATGTGTGTTAAAATGATAATTTTCTCAGTTTCTATCGTATATACTAGTGAAAATGAATCATTTGCAAATACTCATTCACCCAGCCTACATTTTGTCTAGAAACTATCAGCGCGAGTGGCTATCATACATTGAGAAAAGTTTGAAACATAATGTTAAAAGCGTTATTGGTGGTATCACTTAATTACCTTATGTGTGGTTGTCTCAGTGCAGCCTGCAAAGCACGAGGAAAAGTATGTAATGCCATCATTGCCACACACCGGATCGTACCTGCTATCTGCGCAGTCGCAATATATGTTACACGGTGACACCAGTGGAGAGTCAGGCCACAAGTCTTCACTGAAACAGAAATGGAGCAATCTAGCAGATTACAATTTCAAATTTGGTGCCCTATTTGGTGCCTCTTCTTATAAAGTTTGTTCGGAAATGTTTATTTTGCAATGTTAACGCTACGATAAAGATCGTTTTCGACATTGTGAAATTTTGTTTCATGCGAAATATAATATATTATTACCAAATAAAATCATATTTATTGAAGTTACTGTTCATACACACTATACAGTTTGTAATTTCATTCAAATAAAAATCAAAAAATAATACAGCGAATTATATTTTTCTGTAATATTATCGATAATTAAGAAAATTATTATTGGTGTGCATACATATCGCTAAGACTTATTCTCAATAGATTTCTAATTTCTTGTCTTGTCAAAATCAGTTTTTTTTCGAAACAACGAAATAATTTCACAATGTCGAATACGGAAAGTCTTTATCGTAGTATTTGATGTACAGCGACAGGTGAGAAAAAGGTTAATATTAGTATATGATGCATGATAAATACTAATTATCGAAACCATGACTGCAGTTATTTGGTCGTACCTAGAAACCAAATTAATGTATATACATATATATAAATGCTTTCAGCATTACCAACATATTGTGCAATGTACAAGTCATTCGTGTGACATATAAAAACAATTGTAATAGACACAACAGTCAAAAAGCACAATAAAGAAATTGGCCGACAATTAATCGTTTAGAAAAGCATTTCTACAGTATATACACCACCGTATGTTCTTTTATTCATTATTTATATATTTTTCAGAACGGCCAAGTTACTCTGTTACTCTGTAACATCGAGGCTCATCGCTGTCAAATACATTCGCATATTTATCTGAGCTTTCAGATGATGTATAGGTTTTTATAGTAGCATACTCAATAATCTTTAGAGAGATGTGTCACGGTTCAATTTTTTTAACACGTTTTACCCCTTTTCTATCATAATAACAAAAATCTATACTATCACAATAACAAGAATGAAAGCCCCAACATTTGTATATAAACTTACCTTTCCCATGTGTCATTGACAGTGACATTGTATTTCTGGTATGGAATGGTTACCCCAGCAAACTCTTCATTATTACATCCCAAGAAAAGCAATGGTATCGGTAGAAATACGTTGAATATAGCAATAATAACGACATATTTGACAGTTGTTACTAAGTCGGGTTTGAAACGTCTCAGGAAGTATCCACCAAGCAAGGTACCAATGGTAGAAGATATAACGAGCCCAACACCTGAAATAGAATAATAACGAGGTGTCAATGTTGCCTATACTCTGCTATAATTGTTATATTTCTAATCAGATTTATTGGTGAAATGACAATATTTAACAAATACAGTTGTTAGTGAATAATAACTATGTGGTGTGATACAAACTATATTTTTAAAAACCCGAAACGTTAAAGACAGTTACTGATCTGCGGGATTGTGAAAAATCGCAATATATAAATAGTTAAGCATATCACTACGCAAACAACCCTCAGGCCAATATAAAATGACTGATTGTGGATGGGTAAAGAAAAATATAAATGTGAGCAGGCTTTTTAGTTCACAGAATAGTCCATGTTATAGTTTGCATTGTCCATCAGAAGACGGGTACAAAAATAGCCATTTGTTAGTAAAAACTGAAGATTAACTCAAATTTTGTTTGTTGGCTCCAAAACTAGGGTTCATTTCCAGAAATTTTGAAGAAAATAAGAAAAAAGTGCAGAAAAATTCGGGCAAGGAAGTCTGGTGGTGAAAAGATTAAATTAATTTCGATTAGTAAACAATATACACTCGATGAGTTAAGAGGCTTTCTTTTTCATTGCTTTTCTCGCTTGTTCTGAGAGTAGAGATTTTACATATTTGCACGGTGTGAATGTAACCTCAATGATTACTTATAATTACCGGTTATATTAGCGCTCATTGTAGCAGAAATGCGAAATTGTACCTCTGTGTATTTAGTGGCGAAAGTCACCAATCCTGAGATCATGGCAACCTCTAGTCCGTAAGCGATTGCGATAGAAATGAGGGACAAGTTTGTGAATAACCGACCAAGAGCTTTTGGAAATTCTATAAAATAAATTATTGACACAGAAATGAATCAGATAGTTTGAATTAGAATACAATATGTAATTTGTTTATGCAAAAATAATATATACTACTCAAAGTAAATTCATAACACTGTATTTTAGATTCCAACAATGTGCCATAATGATATATACGAATATTATTGGCACAGTAAATATGTCCAGTTTGCCATACCTGTCTAAATTCTTTATTAACAGGCGGTGATCGTCACGACACGCATGCGCGAGACATATGGGTCTCATATAAATAAAGATGGCAACTTTGGCTGTTGCGCAAATCGACGAGCACAAACTGAGACGTTACCAACGTTTAATTATATATTTTATCGATGATTGGAAGATATCGAAGGAATCAACGGCGGTAATAAGTACAAGTCGCATCCAGGGCAAACTTAATACTTGCGATTCCGTTAGAAGAGCGCGTTGGGTTACGGGAAAATTAATGTTTATCAACACACATGTCGCACATGCGCAGCGCGACGACTACCGCCCTTTAACATCCTCAATAATTGTAATGTTATTCATATTAATAGATTAGTGCGTAGACCAACTACCTTTGATTCGTTTCAACGCTTCTTGACCCACAGCATTTTCATCATCATCCCCATCGTTGTTTTGCAGCGATATTTCATGTTTCCTCTCCTGCTTCACATCATTTAATTTATTTGTTGACAGCGCCAGTTTCTTTGGTGCGAATACCAACGGAATGGCAACCATTAATGTCAAAATCCCGTCCACGATGAAACCCAACCACCAAGCGCCGACCCATCGCGCGTCGTCTGGTGTTAAATCCACAGTTGTCAAGTCAACCCGGCCCACATCCACATATATGCTGACGAAGATTGATGAGAAGGGAAATCCAACGACTGCTCCAAGAGAATACATAGCGTAGAATATACCTGGATAGAAAGAGACACATTTAGCCCTAACTGGCTTTAAGCATGGCATAGGCACGCATTTATGAATGAGTTCCTCCTCTCATGTTCTTGCGAGAACGATGCAATTGCTTCAGTTTGTAATGCCATTCTGAGTCATGTGATCTATTGTTCAGTTCATCCTCATACTATAATACTAGTCTGAGGTTCATCTGGTTATTCCTGAAAACATAGTTGTATGTTTGCCTGTATGTGCATTAGGAAACTTTACATAGCAAACAGCACGCTTCAAACAGAGGAGTTTTGTAAACGCCACACGTCTATATTAACTACAACTGGATTGCGACTTGCATGCTATTAATTATGACTTCCTTCGCAGCCAATACGGAGAAAGATTAAGTTCAAACACGTTCTACAGACAAGACAGAGACATGCAAATTTTGGATAGTGGTTCTTTGTACATACATTAAAACGGTGCTTTAAATGTCTCGTGGAATGCATTGAATCAATGATGAGCAAATGAGATAATGTATAATATACCATTTTCGAATTAGATCAATCGCTGTCTTTAAGACAAAATATATAATTTCTGGTCACAGCGTCACAACTTTTTGTTAGGACTTTGTTCGAATTTTAAAAACATTGTCATTGTCATTATCATTAAGCTGCGTGCCAGCATCGATTTTGTAGGTAAAAGAAGAAACTTTGGTGGGGGCGGTATCAGTATACAATCGTATTGAAGACTGAGTGCAATTCCAACTTACCTAAATATAGTGGTGATTTCTTTTTACCAATGAAATCGTCTAAGTATGTAGGTGTTAATACAATAAACGGAGTGTAGCATATTCCTGCCAATGTATGCCCTAACAACATCATAACTGCCATCCTTACACTATCTGACTCCGCCGCGCGTGCGCTGTCCGACGAGCAATCCGTTAAGCTACGGTTTACTTTCATGTAGTCATAGTCTTCGGAACACAGTGTAGTTATATTTGATTTTAAATCCAGTTTACCGTACTCATATGGCGACGACATGAAATGATTCAGAGAGATGGACGATGAGCTTATCGCTGCGAGCACTAATCCTATACCAACCCAACGCGGTCGATGGCTTCCGTGTCTACCTCCCAAGTACGCCACGAACAGAACGCTTAGTAAAATCGCGCTATCAAAAAGAGTTGCATTTAGACCAAAGAACAAGCTCGGAAGCGCGTAACGCTTCTGGATACTTGTTATGGTGGCTATGAAGACGCTGTAACTGAAGCTGAGGAGAAAATTTGCAGCACAGAAGAGGAAGAAGACAAACTTTATATTTGCAAAACACTGGAGGAACTTGGGTTGCCATCTTCCAATACCGCACATCATATCAGGATCAGTAACTATGATGTTCTCGTTTCTATTTTCGTTGATGACCTGCGCTTTTTCAATCCGTTCTTTTCCACCATCTATGTTGTTCTCCGTAATTTCCATCTCCGGCTAAGATTCTGAAATAATAATGATAGTTCAGTATATCAGCCTTTGACGATGTAATGCAAATGACAGCAACCCCAGGAATAGATCACTTCATTGGAAAAGCTATATATAGACGTGGCCCGCCGCCAACTGTCCCCGATACGTTTCGGCATTAAGGGATTTCCTCGGGCTTCCGTTGCTGATAAAAAACATCAACAACATTTGAAACTCCCGATATGGTGCCGCCAGGAAGGTTCCATCGAATAAACGGGTAAGAGTGCAGTAAAAAGATAGGATGCTCGAATATTTTTCCAAATAATCCATGGTATTATGATTTCCGTTTAAATGCTATTTTCAATTGAAAATTGTTCAAATACATAAAATAGAGGTTAATAACTCAAATGCTAGTTCGGATATCCGAAATTTGTTCCTCTCGGGAATAATTTAATGTGTGAGCATTATGTTTTTAGCGTCCATTTCAATAAAACTGTCTTTATAAGAGAAAAATGTCGCCAGCCCCGTGGACAGCATGTGCAAACTAGCTGTGTTTGACAATTATGACTTCTAGAAACTTTAAGCATAAAAACATGTTTGAAGGCCGCTGGTCGTCACGCAACGCTTTGTCGAACTTCATGTAAACAAACAATGTTTACACGTGGTGTATACGTTGCTATAAGTCCCATATCCAACAAATTGTGGGTGTTTATGTTTCCTATGATACACATTGGGCTACTACTTAAAGTTATTCCAAGCCAATGGAAAATTTACAGTTAACTTTGAATCTGTGGAAGCAAAGAAACTAAACTTTAATTGGTGGAATACAGAATGTGAACAACTGTGCTATATCTAAGTTTGTGTATCTTATGAGAATGGGCCCTGTACCAAATAAAGTTTTACTTGAGATAAATAGAAAGTGTTTCAATTGTATTTGGTATGGCCATGATCTGGTTGCCCGCAATGTTATGATCTCAGACATATGAGAAGGTGGCTTGAAAGCCCCTGATATATTTACACTGTATGGTACATTTCGTATAATGTGGTTGGAAAGGTACTTTGATCCTTCAGTGACCCATGCATGGAAAACATTATTCTTAAAAACGATAAAGCCTGTTGGAGGCAACTTAATATATATATATACACTATATTTGTAAATTTAAAATGAGTAAAAGTATACCGAGTGATGTATATCTGTGTAAGGTGGTAACTGAAGCATGCGAGATTGAAAAGCATATAGCTATATCTAAAACCAGATCGGTATTACATTTACGGAAGTGGTCTATTATCTCTGATAGTGTGTAAACATTTTTTCAATTCAGTGCATTAGCAATTATCCTTTTTGGTTTTTCTTTTTCTTTTACTGTTGTTTGCTTGTCTTTTTCGCTTTGTATCGTGTAATAAATGTTTACTGTAATGTATGTAATGAAACTATATGGAATAAAATTTTGTGAAAAGAAAAAAAATCAAGAATAGAAATTTGTCCGAAGTCGTGAGTTGTGAACAAATAAACTGTTAATAAAAAGCTTTGGTTATGTAAGATCTCCGAGATAAGGGGTGGGTTGAAATAAGTACAGTCCCTTTAGAGTGTGACTATGTAGACAAAAGAAGGAGGGTATTTTTTTTAATAAATTCACGAAAGCAACGTCACGGCCAGTTTTTATCGCCCCTTGTCGCAGTCCCAGGAATTGTTTTAGAGTTCAGGTCAGTTATAAATATTCATAAAGCAAATAAAGCCGTTCTGAGAATTATTTGTACAGTCAGGTAACAATATATCTTGAAACTTGGGTCTTTTCCAATCTAGACTTGATGGCGCCGTTGTGTTGGAACGCCCACAATTGGAATCTTGTCATTGTCTTGCTAGATGCGGGTAAACGCTGTTTTCAAAACGAAACGCTTTGGTTACAATACAATAACAGTTTCTACCTTGTATATGCATTCCAAATGTTATAATTTAATTTAATTTAAAATTGTTATAACCATCTGATTCCACCTGACGTAACACAATTTACAAATCAACTCACCTATGTTGAGTAACCCAGGGTATTAATGTACTCATTGGGACCGCCGGGAAATAAAGTGTGTTCGGACTAGGACGTTCAAACTCGCATATTCGCAAGATAATGACGGTGCGAAATATGTCTGTTTTTTTTGTTTTTTTTGTTAGAAAATGCTTTGTCACAGAATAATAGTCTGTTAAATGCGCTAAGCATGAAATAGTTAGTCGACAAAAACAACCCTGCTTCGAAATCGGAAAAATGGGTTATTTGTTGACAGGGAACACTGTCGCATACGACTTGTTTACCACTTCCGTGTCACTGAGAATGTTCTAGAACCGTACTGTGTCTAGGTGGAATATTCTAGATTTTTTTAGAAACTGGTTGAATAGGTCACAGAACACTGTAGAAGATAATAGAAGCTAATGGAACATTCTAGAAATTTGTAGTAAATTCCAGACTCATTATGTATGCTGATGTAATGGTCTATTTCAGATCGGAGATCTCGTTGAATTGTATTGGAGTTTAAGTATTTAGTTATTGGAGTAGTGGAGTTTTACCGCGTTATTGTACTTGATGTTTACAGGGTATAATAATACCAGTACCAATTGAAACCTCATCTGTTGGCTCCGTGTTCGCATGTTATCATCGCCGCCAGGGAAGTCTTTCTGTTGCTGTTGCCATTTTGGTATTTGAACCATCACGCCTGTACTATACCAATTACGGTAATATTACGTTGCGTGTGACAAACACATTTCAATGGACTTGGAATTCTGAGTGGCCGATGCTAGCAGCAAGCGTTGGCAGATCTTTGGAAAAAGTAACGAACGACGCAATCGATAGCTAAAATAGTGTTATTATTCGTGAGAAATACAATTCTGAAATAGGAAAATATATATATTTACAGGTAAAAAGAATTTGAAATAGCTTTAGGGAGCTAATCTTGTCAATTCTCATTAAACATAAATAACTGAATAAGTAAATAGAAAAAATGCAGCCATATAGTACTTCATGACAATACTGTTTTTACAAAAACGAAGAATATAATAAAGAAACAAAATAAAGTTATGTAGCGTATCTCGCCAATAGTAAAGCCTTCAGTTTGTGTTTGAATATATGCTTTGGTTGTGATCTCAATGTGACATGCAGACAGTTCCATAATTTAGTTCCTAAATACGAGATTGAAAATTGGCCCACAGTTGTATTCATCTTTGGAACAAGTAAGTCACATCGGTGCCTTTATCTGATATTGTGACAATGCAGAATATATATATATGTTTGCATAGAGTGTGGAAGATAACCATGAATAAAATCCTATACAAAATTACAAATTGAATATGTGCAAAATTTAGGGACATCAAGAATTAATAATAGGTGCAGAATGGGCGATAAAATCAGAGAGAGTTATCAATCTTGCCATCTGTTTTTGTGCTGTTATAATGCTTTTCAAATTTGAGGATATGTGTTCCCGCAGACTTCTAATCCAAAATTGACATGAGGTTCAATTAGTGTTTGGTATTACAACAGTAAAATATGTTGGGGAACACAATGCCATGACTTCAGTAGGACCCTATCTTTTTCCGGATAAGATTAGTAATTTTTGTTTTATGTTTTTCCCATGTCAAATGTCTGTCAATTTCAATTCCCATGAAACTGGAAGTGCCCCTTTAACAGTAGATAAATCTATGTCAGAACCTGATTAGAATGTGTGAAATTAATTTGATTCATCTGCAAATAACCTAAAGTCGAAATAGCCTGTAGAATTTGTAAAATCATTAATATAAATCAAAAATAATGTTGGACCAAGAACTGACTGAACTGAGGGACGCCACACGACATAGGGAGAAGTGAGGAAGAAGTTGAAGCTGAGTAAGTAAACTGTGTTCTATGTTGCAAATAATTTCTGAGCCATTTATTTGGACTACCCCGTATGCCATAGTGATTCAGTTTTGACATGAGTATATCGTGATTTATGGTGTCAAAGGCTTTCGTGAAATCAATAAAAATACCAACAGTTACTTTTCCTTCATCAATTTGGGTTAGTAAGTTGTTAATTAAATTAATCACTGGAAGCCTTGTGCTGTAGTTAATGCAAAAGCCGTACTGTTGTTCAAAAAAAATATTTTGTATCTCTAAATACTGCTGCAATTGTTTATTTTCTCTAAAATGTTACTTAAAAGGGGCAACACAGTTATTGGTCTATAAATGCCAGGGATATCAACTGCGCCTTTTTTGAAAAGGGGGTTACCTAAGCAATTCTTAAAGTGGTTTGGACATTTTTGTTGCAGCCTGTTTAAGAAGCTTTGCTGGCAGGTTAACGCAGCCAGGGGATTTATTTTGGTCAAAATGTCGTAACATTAATGCAACCTCTTCTGGCGTAGTTGGGCTAATGAAAAAGGAATTATTATAAGACTTTCTAAGATACTAGTGGAAATCGTTTGGAATTATTTGATATTTGAGGCAAGATTGGCACCAATATTAACAAAATAAACATTGAACGCATCTACAATTTCTCTTAGATTCTGTGTCGTATATTCGGTATTATTGTGCTTCACATTCAATTCTGGGAAGTCTTTTGATTTGTTTTGTACATTGCTCATTAGTTCATTGATCCCCCATGTCCTACTTGAATCATTATGGCATTTAATAAACTAGGTAGAATAATAATTTTGTTCAGCTTCCCTTAACACTCTGGTCAGTAGGTTTCTATATTGTCTATACTGTGCAAGCTCGTTTTCAAAGAACCTTTGTATATAATTTTTGTTTTGTCTTGATCGATTTGTTAATAGTAGATGTAATACAGTGTTTACTGTTCTTCTACTTATTATATTTAACATTTTTAAAAAATAATGGTACATGCTTATCACATATCTTGTTGAATATTGAATAACATTTGTCATATGCCATATTAACATCATTACATGTTTATACATCATCCCATGATTCACTTAGTAAGTCTTCATTTAATTTATCAGCTTTAAAATTCTTGAAATATCTATAACTTTTTTTTACTGTGTGTGACATATT